GCCATCTCCTTTTGTGACCTTCAGCCAAGATAAGTCAACGGGGAAACCAGATTCGCTTAACAACCGTGTCATTCATAGGGAGTCACTTAACATCTGTGGCAAGAAAGGTCGTAAAATGGGGCAAAACTCAACACCTATCTCGCTTAGCAACAGAAATGTTGGGATCGGTTGTGGTCGTAAGTCGAGGACTACCTGTATTTATACAGTTAGGGATTTGCTTGTGGAAGATCTGACGAAGGCCTTAAACATTAATGAAGTCTTTGGAAAAAATAACAATCCATCTGCCTCATTCTTTAAATTGGATATACCCCTTTTAATTTTCCCATAAGGAGACATAAAACACACTTTAATTGTTTTGCTTCTTGCAATCGTCATGTTGGCTGGGGAATTCTGGGAGTTGAAGTCCTGGGGTCTTAAAATCGTTGAGGTTGAGAAGCCCTGGGTCCCCTTAAGCTCTCAGACAGATGTTGTGTTACATCATACCCCCATTCATAGAGTTTTATATAACTTCCACTGTTACTCTGGGAAGCGGGTGAGATTTTCTCTATGCAATATATATATCAGATCTTACCTTGGGATTCAAACTCTCTACCAAAAATGGAATTAAGGACCGTTGTGCTTTTCAGATGACTTTAGATCATGCAGTAGGTTTAGGAGCTGTCCAGGTGCTGCTGTCAGCTCTCTCTTTAGACTGGTATCTTCAATAAGATGGACAAACATCTACATCTGAAGAGTCCCACATAAAATGAAACCAGTCATTTACTGCCTCCTGCTGATATGTCCGTCTGTCTCTATTTATCATCGGTCTGTCTACTTTATTCCTGTGAAACCTCAAACTTTCTTCGTCCCCTACCTCTCCAAGCAAATCTGTGTGCCAGGAGCTATTTGTCAGTTCTGTTCACTGTGGACATTGGTGCTAGTTTCTCAGAATTGATCGGCCTTTGGCCATTTGATTAGAGCAGGGCTGTCAAATTCAATTTCATTGAGGGCCGCATCAGGGCTGTGGTTGACCTCGGGGGGGGGGCAGGCAGACTGGGTGAGTGTGGCCAAGTGGGTGGGCGTGGCCAGCTTGACGCCACTCACTGCCATGGCTGACTGGGTGGGCGTGGCCAGCTTGATACCACTCCCCAAACTGCTGGCATGTTTCCTCTTTGCATTGGGTAGACCAAGTACATGCCAGTTGTCAAGCATCTGAATTTTGAATATGTGCGTGTAAGTGAAAAATGGTCATAACTCACTTTCTTCAGTGCCGTTGTAAGTTCGAATTGTCACTAAACAAACTGGTAAATCAAGGACTTTACGTGGGATCCTAAACACAGAAAAGCTTTCTCCAGAAGAGATGTATGAGCATTTGAAAGACTGATGTTCTGGGTCCAGAAACATTTATCTGCAGTCTTGGCCAAGTAGTGCATTTCCCCAAAAATAAGACCCGGTCTTATATTTTTAGGCAAATAAGCACTAGGGCTTATTTTCTGGGAAACATGATTTCAGGATGATCAGCCCAGCTGGGCACTCCACCACCCCGACAGGCACAGAAGAGGTGGCAAATGTAGGGGGACCGACAGTATGGTCCCTTGGTCAGTGCACTCTGGGTCTGGGCAACGCAGGTGAGTTGATTACCTGTCCAAGCAGTAGAGGCAGAGGTACCGGGGGGGGGAGGCAGACGATCCGGACGCACTGCGCAGGCCGTGGGAAAGTTGAGTCGGAAAATCCACGGACAGCTTCTTCAATGTAGCTTAGGTTAAATCTACCCCCTTCCCATGGATAGAAAGAGCTAATTGTATTTACTCTGGCTTTTCTCAAAATGCCTTGGATGTTTTTGAGATTCTAAGCCCCACCCCCACCCTTGGATTCATGGTTTACTAGTAACTCTCTCCTTTAGAAAAAATATCGACAACTCCATAAACAACTCAAGAGGCTATAAAAGTACCTATAAGCTCTCGCTTCGGCTTGGGAGGGGGGGAATCAAAACGTGATTTGTGAACATTCATGAGGTGTCAGAAATTCATACAAATATTACCTACCTAATGAATTAGAACGATTTCCTGCCAGCAACAGCACCTGATTGACCTTGTTTGAGCTTGGAAACTCAAGCCTGATTAATACTTGGAAAGGAAGTCTACCAGAAAATTTTAGGACTGTAATCTAGAAAGTCAAAAAAAAAAAAAAAATTTGCAGGAGTTGGCAACAACAAATAGTTCTGCATTCGTGCCAAGGAAACACCATAACTTTATCACTCTTAAGTCAGAGGGGGTCAAGCTGATCTTGAAGGAGACTTAAAAAACTTTTATATATGCCAGCAAGTTCAGTTGTAACGCTGCCTTTTATTTCAGATTGTCAGTTTAGCTCCAGTCCAGCCATATTTTAAATTTAAAAACGTTAATTTTCAAGTTTGCACTAACACTTAACGTCCCTTTGTTCAGCAGGAGAGATTGTCTTACTGCTCAGAAGTGACAAGTTTGTCGAGGGTTGCAATAATATGAGTTTACCTGGATTCGGAGCGTATAGCTTATTTTTACAGAAGCCTCGCCAATAAATTGTTGTACTTCATTTGTAAAGGCATTTAAGCAAATAGCGTAATACGAAGAGTCACCACTGCAAGATTAAAAATTACAAGAGAACGGACAGGCTGCGGGTGGCCCTTTGAAATCATGGGGCAAGTTGTTTTATTAGGAGATTGTAGTTATTCTTCAACGTTTAAGGGATGATAAAAAAAACATCAGTGAGATGTATTTTGCAACATCATGCAGACTTTTATAAAACATTTTATTGACTGGGGGAGATGGAAAGGGCTTTAAATTTATTATAACTTGAAGTTACCACTCTTCACACCCATTTGCCCCATTCAGGGGACCGTGATGGGACAGGCAAACGTCGAAGTGGCCTCAACGACTCTCTAAAAAGGATGCAAATGACCAGTTGTCTGCAAGGAATATTAAATCCTTCTATTCCCCACCATCCAGCCAGAACTGAAGAAGCTTCTTGGATGAGAAGTGAAATGTCTTAAATGAAAAACAAGAAAGTTCAGTTGCCTCTTGAAAAAAAGCATCTTTGGGACAACCATGACCTTGAGAATCTCCATAGACACCACTCTCCAATTTTTCATGTAGAGAATTACAGATATGAAAACAAAGATATTTTCCCAAATCCCCAATCTACTTACGGGGCACATTAACATTTATTCTTAGTTATATTTTCCTATAATGTTAAAATCAACAGAGTCACAGCAGTGGAAATTTCTTCTAACGTCACCGATAACTTTACTGAGCACTATTGGGAAGGACGACTCCATCGTTAAGCAATGCGGTTGCTAAGTGACACAATGATCTTATTGCAGCTTTCCTTCGTTTTACAAGTCTGCAAAGGTTGTAAACAGAAGGGCTTGGGGTCAAGTTACTTTTTCATCATCATCACTTTTTGCAAACTCTCGCTAAACAAGGACTAGCTGTTTGGTAATCAGAAAAATAGGGGCTGAATCCTTTTTCTTCATACTTTATTTATTTTTCTTTTCTACAAAACAATTTCCAACACTGGCAAAGGTTTTTTTTTAGGTCATAGTTGCTGACTAAGATAGTCCTCTATACAATTCCATTAAGCCTTCCTCATTAAGCTTTGTGACAACTATCTAAAAATAACTAGGGTAAGTGTATTAATTTTGGCAAGAGATTTTAACATGCCAGAAAATACTCTGCCCCAAACGTTTAACATCCAAAGGCTGGTTTTGTTATTGTTGTTGTTGTTGTTTTCTTAAAACTTAAAAAGTTGTGGCACTTCAGACTACATGAATATTGATACTGAAAAAAAAATGGTTTACGTTTCCGTGGAAAATAATAAAGTATGTATCAGTATAAAGTGAGAAATTATCCATTCAGCTGAAAAAATGTGATTTGCCAAAAATGTGGTTGAAGCACACAGAAAAGTATTTTTTCTAGCATGAAGTCTAATGAGAGCAAATGCCTAAAATGTTTTGTTATTTCTGAGCAAGATAATTTTCAATGGTAAACCAGCACAGGGAAAATTCCCCTCTAAAAGAAACACAGCCAAGTGTCACTATCTATAGTCTATAAAATAATGGAAATAAACAATATCTATCCAAACCAGTCTCATTTAAAAATAGAAAAGGTAAAAAGCCCTTTGGCAAAGCAAATACACAAAAACTCTTAGGCAGTTTTTTCTGTTGCAAAATTCAGTAAGGTATATGACATCTCAAGGGCTCCAAAATTAATTGCTGGATAGACTATGCAGGTAGTCCTTGACCTATGACCACAATGGAGCCCAAAGTTTCTGTTGTTAAGTGAGACATTTGTTAAGCGAGCTTTGCCCCCCCCCCTTTATGACTTTTCTCGCCACAGTTGTTAAGTGAATATGGCTTCCCCACGGACTTTGCTTCTCAGAAGGGGATCACGTGAGCCCAGGACACAGCGACTATCATAAATATGAGTCAGTTGCTGAATTTTGAATTTTCGCATGACCATGGGGACGCTTCAAAGATCATTAACCGTGAAAAACGGTCGTAAGTCACGATTCTCAGTGCCGCAGTAACTTTGAATGGTCACTAAACGAACTGTTGTAAGTCGAGAATTAACCTGTATAAGGCTTGGCATAAGTGAACGAATGGGATTCTTCTGGTATTATTAAGCAGTAGGTTTAAACTGTTCGATTAAACCTAGATACACCAGGTAGAGCTTTCCGTGATGAGAGCTAAAATAAAAATACTTTCTTACAATGGATTTAAAACATGCATTTTCTCGGCTGTAGAAGGTTTCTCCAATATACATGAAGATGGGAATCTATTCTTTTTCAAATAATCGTGATGCGATGCCTATAATACAGTCCTGAATAAGCATTAATTCACCACGCCGGTCTAATCTTTACCCAACATTATCCAAACATCTGAACACATAAGCAGAAATGCTGCAGGCAATCCAATTAAGACATCAGGTTAACTTAGCCCATGGTTACTTCTCGATTAAGGGAGCAGAAGCAATAAACTGCCAAGATTTTAGTATAAATAGACTTTATTGAAGTCAGTACACTTCTGTAGTGAAGCTGAAGGTCGCGTCTACATAAGCACGTTGTAACATTTCACAACTTCTAAAAGGAATGTCAACAATTACAACGATCATGCATGCCATGGTCGATAAATCACATTTCAGAAGCATTTTTTTCAACCATTTCTAAAGAAATGCTTACAACATTGTTATAGAGAGAGAGAGAAAACTACTTTTAATAAACTGCAAAACATTGATCAGCGTTTGCCCCCGTCGTTATGAGTTACAGTGTGAACACAATAAAAAGAGGCATACATTTTTTTTTTTAATGTATGAAATCAAAATGGAATATTTACTGTAAAGGAAAATTAAAAAGCTCCCGAATAAAGGCAAAAGAGCACAACCTGGAACTGAGGAAACTCCGTTTGTCGTTTTCAGCTGTTTCTCTGAACAAGTTCGACTCAAAAAAAAAAAAAAAAAGGCAAATTATCAGTATTGCGAGTATTCCTTGGACTGGAGTTTGGCGATGATGCGGTCCAGCTGCCTCTTTGCTTCGCATTGTGGGAAGTTACTCATGTCATAATATTGGGGAGCAATTTTCACCAACCTGCCAAAGAAAGGGAAGAGTCTGTCACGTACACAAAACAGTCGAATGTAACACAGCCACATAGCAATGGCTTGGCTAGTAGTAGGAATGTCTCATAGTAAAGGGTAACCAGATAATCCAGGGAGTTTTGATTCCTCCTATGTAATGCAAAGACACTATATTTTTTATGCATTCAACTGGAAAGCTAATATTCAAGTGGTAGAAGTTAAACCAAAGGTTAACGATTCCTACAGAATACCAAATAACAAACTAAATATAAAAAAATAAAAGGATGGTTTGGTGGAATCCAACGAGCTCAAAATTCTAGTTGGGATTTCAAAGAACTTTTGACTAATTCACTGGCCAAATATGTTTGTGCAATATTAGTAGGCATGAAAAGATGCTTTCTTTTACATGGTGATGGGTAAAAGAGCAGATAGAAGCAGAAGCAAACGAAGCCCTATGACAAATATGCTACTGTTGGTTGCTTCCTCATGAATTAGGGGCAGGTAGTTAGGTTAATCAATAATCATAATAGAGTTGGAAGGGGCCTTGGAGGTCTTCTAGTCCAACCCCATTCCCCAAGCAGGAGACCCTATATCATTCTGGACAAATCTTTGCCCAATCTCTTCTTAAAAACTTCCAGTGTTGGAGCATTTACAATTTCTGGTGGCAAGCTGTTCCACTGGTTAATTGTTTTCACCGTCAGGAAATTTCTCCTTAGTTCTGGGTTGCTTCTTTCCTTGATTGGTTTCTATCCATTGCTTCTTGTCCTGCCCTCAGGTACTACAGTTTAGATTTCATAGTTTATCAAATGGCCTTTACAGAAACAAATACTCCTTCCCTCTATTTTATCTCCCCTCAGTTATATTATATACCAGTAGTGTAGGAAAACCATTTGCTACTGTTATTGTGTTGATATTGTGTTTCTACTATCCCACCCAAAGCCAAAGAATTCTCTATAGTATATAGGTAGTCCTCGAGTTATGGCCACAACTGAGCCCAAAACTGATGTTTGCTAAGTGAAACTTTTGTAAGCGAATTTGCCTCATTTTACCACCTTTCTTGCCACTGTTGTTAAGTGAATCGCTGCGGTGGTTAAATTGGAGACACAGTTGTTAAGTGAATCCAGCTGCCCTATTGCTTGTCGAAAGGTCCCCAAAAGGGGTTGCGTGACACCCCCACCCATCCCCCCAGACATTGCAACGAGTCAGTTGCCAAGCATCTAGATTTCTATCACGATGCTGCAGTGGTCATAAGTGTGAAAAATAGTCATAAGTCACCTTTTTTTTAGTGACATCGTAACTGAATGATCACTAAACCAACTGTTGTAAATCAAGGACTATCCCCTGTAAATTAATCATCTAATATATCCAATATTTCTCCTTTGGAACCTAATTGAAATTCAGGCTTAAATTATAAATTCCAGGATTTTGATTTTAAATTCTTCCCTAGAAGAAAACGATGATTTGCACAGTTCAGAGGTGAAGGAAAACCAGAAAGACACGAAGACCCGGGGGGCGGGGAGGGGGGGCACTCAAATCCCCACCACTATCACTCCTGGGTATAATCCAAACTCTTTGGTGCTACTCTCTAAGTAGAAGAAAGAAGCTACTAAGGTATTTCCCGTCTAAAGAAAGTTACCAAGGATATTTTTAGAAGACCCCCCCAAGAAAGACAAGTTAGTCAAAAGCAGCCAAACTTCTGGGTTTGTGCTTGGAATTCTGTTGTGGGTGCTGTCACAAGATGGCTGCCATGAAGGAATGGGCAACAGCGGGCACATTAGCTAGAAAATTAGCCCACGTTCCATGTCTGCATAGAGGTATTCTTGCAGATAAAGGTAGTATTAGAAAATGCTGCTTGGTGGCATGTATTTCATATTTTTTTTAAAAAAAAAAGAAGACCTAAAAGCATTCGAAATAAAGGAAGAAAAAATCAGACAAGATTGGGAAATTGGGTAGCTATGAAGGAAAATGCCCATAAAATCTTTGAGCCATCAGCATGCATGCTCCAAATAACAAAAATACAATTATTATCTAAGAAGACAATACATTTTCAGTTACGATCCCTCGTTTTAAGACTTCAGCCTGAATTCTTCTACTTCTTAAAATCCGGCTTCGCAAAAGAACCCAAATATTACTGAAAACAGCAATGTTCTTTTAAAACTTTGCTATTAATAACAGCTGGCGTTTTAAATTTATTCTCTCTGCTTACGGAGAAGACGGAGCCCAATTTCTCTTTACGGCTATTCAGTCGATCCCGTCTTCCCCCGTGGCTTTACCCACAAACAACACGTGTTCGAATCAAAAGGAAAAACAACTGCGATTAGGCAAATCTAATTCCTGTTCCAAGTCTCCTAGAGTTTATAAAGAGAACGTGGCTTTTAGTGCTCGGGAGACAAAAAGGCCAACGACTTTCGCCCAAATGTAGGCACTTCCCTGTCAACTGGGGATTGTGTTAAAAAAACCAACAACCCAGCTTTGAAGACAAAACAGGCTTACCATTCTGGCTTGATGTCTGTACAAGTGCGAATGTAGTTCTTTGTGGTAAGAACGAATTCATTGTAAAGCACCCATTCCGGTTTGTGATCGAGAACTGTTGAGGGATGCAGCTGCACCACCTGGTTATCCTTCACTGTCAAATAATGTCCCGTCCGCTCCAAATGTGCCACCTACGAGAAGGAGATGACAGGTCACTCTCTCAAGCCAAGGTACGCAGTAACAGCGGTCAGTTAGACTTACGCATGATTTCTCTGCTCCTAGAAGTCTCTGGCGGTAGGAAAATCTGTCAGCAGGAAATGAAAACCCAAAATCTGAGAATGTGATTTTCTGCCTGCCCCCCTCCCAACCAGAACGCTACGATGTGCAAGTATCCTTTCTTATGTCTCTAACCCTCGCTGGACCGCAAGGACTTTCCATTTTACACGGTTTGAATTTAATTCTGGACACGGGCAGCTGTTTTCGTGCAAGGGAGTCTCTTCAATCAAATATCTGATCAGAACCAGGGCCGTCTCTTGCTCGCCTTTTCTAAAATGTAGACGCCTCCAACCCAGCGGTCTTTGGTGAGGAACTGAAGACCTGGCTGATCCCATGGAGCTAGGCAAGAATATTAAATCTATTGAGGTATATCGACTAGGGTCCTTGGTTGTCAAGCTTTGGAGCTATGACAACTTCCAAAATTGTATGCAAACCATCTGTGAGCTGGGCAGCCCTGCAAGCTGAATAAATAAATACCGTATTTTTCGGTCTATGAGACGCACTCTCCCCCACCCACCCGCCCAAAAGTGGGTGGAAATGTCTGTGTGTCTTATAGAGCAAATATTGTGGCAGGGGGAGGGGGTTGGTGCGGTGGCACATGCCGCCACTGCCTGTCATCACCGCCGCCGTTTGCCGCCACCGGTGAATGCTGGAGCCTTTGCTGCTGAGCAGCTGATTGGCGGTTGGATCGGACTCCCAGAATACCATTGATCAGCTGTTCTAGACGGCGGGGATCATCGCCACCGCCTATCACCACCACTGGCGATTGCCACCACCGAATGGCAGCGAACAGCGGCAGCAATCCCCATCTGGAACAGCTAATCGGCAGTATTCTGGGAGGCCGATCCAACCACCAATCAGCTGCTTCAGCAGCAAAGGCTCCAGCATTCCCTGGCAGTAGATGAATACCAGATGGATGCTGGGAAGCAGAGGCTGATTTTTTTTTTCTTGTTTTCCTCCTCAAAAGCTAATGTGCGTCTTATGGTCCAGAGTGTCTTATAGACCAAAAAAATACAGTAAATAGAGGTAGGTAGTATATGCATATCAGAAATATTTCATTAAGGGGATTAACAAAAGCTAGCAGAGCTACAAATTCAAGATGACTAAAATTCTTCAGAGTTTGTATTCTCAGGTATCCCTTCAGGAGGAAACATGGGATAGGACAGGCCCATTTCTGCTTTCCGCCCTGAAATTAGCAAGATTAATTTATGCTGTAAAATTAGCAGTAACTTAAGACTGTATTTAACAGCAACAAAAGATTTAAGAAACAGAAAATTATACAGAGACTTCCTTCCTTTATTTTGGGGACATACCTGCATGAAGTACCCGGTAACCAATGCTTTTCGTATATTGATGTAATAGTCCCTGCTTGTGAAGTCTGTGCTTCTACGCGGCAAATTAAACCTGTCCATGATTCGTGACAGCTGTTGGCGTACGTTGTCCGCTGACATCAAGGACCTGTAGTTAATGAAGTTGTCATAGCACCACTGAACCGATTCATGATCTGCAACGTTTAAAAAAAAAAGAAAGAAAGGCATGAATCATCTAAAACTGAGCATTTTATACCGAATTAAAACAAATACACAATCAGAAAACCAGCCGGATGGCCAAATCAAGTCAACCAATTAAACTCTTGAATTACGATCTTTTCAGTGATACGTTCTTTTCTTTTCTTTTTTTTTAAGTAAAAATAAAAAGCGACATTTGCTGCAGCGCCAAGGAAATAAACCCCAAATTGTTTAATTTCTTTTTTTTTTTCCCAAGGAAGCCGGGACAATAGGAAGCAACAAGGGGGAATCAAGTAAACCGAAGGAAATGATTATGGGTTGGTATATAAAATAAAATCTGCCTTATGCATTCTGTAAAGTCCCACAAGGCTTAGCCAACTAAACAGCAGGGGGTTCTGTGGACTTCACAGACCCGGTGTCAATTCCCCCCTCCCCAAAACAATGTTCTTATAAGAATATGAAGAATCTATATAACCTAGTTTCCTTTGGTGACTAATCAGTATTTTATTGCATGCAAATGCAAAATCCATTCAGCAATATATAACTATACATTTAATCAGACTGAATTATTTCTAGGGTCTAGAGAAAAGAAGGACTAGGGGGGACATGATAGCAGTCTTCCCAGTATTTGAGGGGCTGCCAAAAAGAGGAGGGGGTCAACTTATTTTCCAAAGCTCTTGAAGGCACGGCAAGAAACCATGGATGGAAACTAATCAAGGAGAGAAGCAACCCTCCTGGAATTAAGGAGAAACTTCCTAACAGTGAGGACAATCAATCAGTGGAACAGAAATTGCCTTCAGAACTTGTGGGAGCTCCATCACTGGAGGTTTTTAAGATACTGGACAGCCACCTATCTGAAATGGTATAGGTTGTCCTGCTTGAGCAGGGGGTTGGACTAGAAGACCTCCAAGGTCCCTTCCAGCTCTATTCTGATTGATTTTGTTTCCATATTAATCTGCAAATAAGACTGCCTTTTCCTTTTTAGCCAGCATTTACCGATATCTTAGGAACATTCTTCCTGAATGGTATTTCTAAAGGTGGTATTTTCCCCATTTCCATTACAGATTCCCAATCCTGATAGCAAGTAAGAATGTTTTTTGGTGTGTGTGTGTGTGTGTGTGTGTGTGTGTTTTTTTCTGGACCAGAGTAGTCGTGGTCTTAAAACTAAATATAGCAGCACAGCTAAAGAGTCAAGACCACAAATAAAAGTTAACTGCAAACTGTGAACCTCAGTTATAAGCTACCTAAAACTAGACAACACGTACGGAAAAAAAACCCCGAGACATAAAAGCCCGTGAAAATTGCCGTGAAAGGCAGGCGGCCGGCTCCAGGGGGAAACAATTCCTCCGGCTGGAATTCTGACGGCCAACCCAACTGGCGCCGAGGACTTCTACTCACTCTGTTTGAAAGCGTGGTAGACGTTCAGCAACGTCAAATGATCTCCGTCTATGTGGGCGAATCTCATCTTGGCCTCGTCTGCGGCTTTCTTGGCTTCCGTGGGGCGAACAAAACACTGTGGGACTAAACAAGGTTGGTATGGGCCCAACACAAACGCCCATATCGATGAGTCACGCATTCACAGACAGAGGTACAAGGCCTAGCTATGTCAGTTCACAGAGCATAGGGCAGGGCAGGATGGCCTCCAACTGCATCTTGGGCTGCCTACTACCTTGATTTGGGACATCAACACCTAACCACATCTGCAAGACAAGAGGGGTTTCAAAGCTACAGAAGGCCTGATTATTTGGACTAGAAGTAGGCATCCGAAACGGAAAAAAATAATAAAAAAATAAAAATAAAATAAAGAGTCTATCCTGAAGGCCATCAACCTGGAAGAGGGGTGTGAACCATGGCAAGGAACCGAATGCTGATAGCTCTGCCGTACGCTGTGGAGACCAAGCATCCCCAGGGAAATAATCCATGAGTCAAGAGCAACCTTTGGGGGGGAAAAGGAGGGCGTTCGAGAAAATGAGCCCATTAAAAACGTTTAGGCAAACATCCCCTCTACTGACAAAAAAAGGGGTGATTAAGGCATTGCATTGTAGCTCCGTCGCCGGCAGCAAGCATCGCTATCAGCACCGGTGGACAAAAGCACGGGTGAACAAGAGGGGGGGGGGCCGTGGCGGCCCAGGGCTAGGATCGCAGCGGCAGTGGTGGAAGGTCGACGCCCAACAGCTTTATCGGAGGTTAAGAAATGTATTTGTGGACTGAGACGAGGCTCAACCTCTTTACACAGAGCCTTCTCTTTGATCTAGTGCCCTGCACTTATCATTTGGAAGGTACAGGAACCGTACTTTCATGGTATAGAGTAGGTCAATATCCCACAAACCAATTCGTTCAAAACTTTGAAAGTCTGTTTTGTTTTTTTTAAATGACTTTTACGTAGGAAAAAAACGGATCATTTCGGTAGAGATCCTGTTAAAATCCCCCACTGGTTTTATATAGGTGTTTAAATACAATTAATCCCCCTGCAGAGAACAGGTTTTAAAAAAAAAACACTGTCCCTCAAATGCCTTGAAATTTTGATCTTGATCCGAACCCAAATTCGAACATTTCCACTTGACGTTTTGTCTCAAATGTTAATCATTTGCAATTTCTACATTGGCCTTTTTTAGGAACGCTGGGAAAAGGCTGCAAAAATAAGTACAGAAATTGAAGACTATGAACAACTTGCCAATATGCCAACAGCAATATTGCAAAAGGCCTACTGCTTATAGCACCTTTTTTTTTTTTTTAATTAAGAAGTGGAAGTGTCAAGAGCAACGTTTCTGCAAAAAAAACCCATTGAAGTCAACATCCAGAAACTGAAAACATGAAATTGTGTGGAACTAAGGCTACCGAAAACCATCAATATTGAAGCACAAAAACTACCTAAGTACATCCATAAATCCTGTTTATACTGCAAATTGAATAACGAAGAGCAGTACTAATTTGTTATTACCATTTAGTGGAAGCTCTTAGTTTAGGGGGTGGAAATGGGATTATTTCAATTTAAGAGTTTTAGTCAGCAAATTATTGCTTCTCTTTCACTTTTTCTACCTATTGTTTAGGCCTAAGAGCGTTCCAAGATTGCCATCTCAACTCTTCCCACAGTGAAGATCTCAATTTAATGGATTACTTCTGGGAAGACGATATTCTGAGCCTGTTATTAGATGGCTCTCGTATTCTTTTGGTTCAATCTGATTGTGTTTACTAGTGTGTGTGTAGTGTGTAGTGTGTGGGGAGAAGTCAGTGGCATTTTCTGGAAACCAGTGTAGAGACAACTGTTCTTCAACTATGTCCAAGGAGATAATGACCCCACAATTTTCTTTTCCGCTGTGTGTATATTTATATGCTACATCCTTAGTTTGAAGAACCATAAATTCATCATATGTACGTTATGTGCGTATAAACATTTTCCAGTTTACTGAGAAGGTGGTTGTTGTTTTTTTTAAAAGTCAAAATACTCACATATGCAATTAGAGGGAATAACACATAGCCACTTCGTTTAAGAATTCAAGTTCCTATAAGTAGGATGGCGTGAAAAGGCAGGTATCAACCTACCACCACCTCCGCAAATAAGGCGACAATTTTACTCAAGACAATGAGATTCTGCCCTGCCCAGCTGCTCTGAGTCTGAAGTGTCAAAATTCGGCAATAAACATTGTAGTTAGTTTTTTTAGAGGAAAAAAACAAAAAGGAAGAATACCCTAACAATAAACGTGATGGCTTGTCTCACCAAAAAAAGCCTTCACCTTATCTTATGCTCTACTACGAACGTGCACATTTTGAGACCCCCACCCCACCCCAAAAATATATCCCCCTCTGGCACTCCTTAACTGGTAATATCCCCATCGTCCCACACAAATACTTAAATGATATTCAATTAGATAAGGAGGCTTTAAGCACATCAAATTTTCCCCTGGCTTTTCCTGGTATTGAACTGGTTTTCTCCAGAAAGGGATAATTAAAGGTTTAGGCCAGGACTCCCCAAAAAACACAGTTTAATTCTCCGTGATCAACAGGTGTTTAGGGCTTGGCTGTCTGAAATAGCAGCTTCCCTGGGAACCCAGCTTTCAAAGCAGTGCACGGCATATAAGCTCTTTTAATATATATTTTAAAAAATTAAAATTCACATGGTCAGGCTCTAGGAACCAACTGGGCACTGCTAGCTAGGAAAGACCATCCATGATAACCAAAGATTGTTGTTCAAACCAATTTCCCACCCCACCCTCAACACACCCCAATCGTATTGGCTTCTACTTTTAGTTTTTTAAAAAATATAGTATGCAGTGATAATCATGTTAAGGCTGCCGCCTTTCCTTCCAACATGCCCTTTAAACAATGAATGTTTTTTTTTTCCAACTTTGTGTAACCTTGTGAGGATTCTCTCTCGTATCTTTATAATGCACTAGTCGTGAAGCAGGCTATCGCAAATTTACAGGACCATAAAAACAAAAGCCAGTTCCTATTATTGCTATGGCTCACTTTCGTATAGCAAGAAACGGGCTTAAGAACTACAGTTTCTAAGGAATAAGAAGTGTTTTTCCTACGATTTTTGCAATCCTTAATGGGTAAAAGGAATTTTTTTCTGGACGTGAGACGAGTTAGGCTTCCCTTTTCCACACACAATGACTTCTGTAGCTTCAACGTTGGTTTCTTTTTACGCAATTTTTTTACTCCACTGTGAAGCCTACTACAGAGTACGTCTGATCGGCACAAATCAAGCTTTTTTTTTTTTTTTTAAAGACCGTAAGTAGTCCTGTTGCAGGAATATTACAAGCTTCCCCTAATTGGAGAGCTGGGTTTTGATTGGCATCTCTGTCCCTGCTATTACCTGACAGCATGGCAGTAATAGATAGAATCTCATTAGAACAGTTGTAGTCGCAACTTGCAATAACCATTTTAGCCAGCTGCGGGTCAAGGGGAAACTCCGCCATCATGGAGCCCAGTTCAGTCAAATCTCCGTCATCGTTTAAAGCGGCTAAGTAATTCAGAAGCTCTAAGGCTCTCATCAAGGTTTCTGGAGCTGCAAAAAAAAAACACACACACACACGGACAAACACACAAGCAGATCGCTGGTGAGCAATGCTAGTTCCGAGCTGCCAAAATGCAAAACGAACGGCACGCAAATTAATTCAGAGATAAGTAGCAATTAAAACGGAGTTGGCTTTGGAGTAGTGCGCAATCCAGAGAGTTGGCCGCAGACTGACAGGTTTACAGGGGTTCTTCCAGCTTAATGTCCATGGAGATTCTCAATCATCCAGGTCAGAATTGTCCTAACGGTGATTTTTTTCCAAGAGGCAACTGGACTTTCTGGTTTTTCTTTGGAGACGTTTCGCTTCTCATCCAAGAAGCTTCTTCAGTTCTGACTGGATGGTGGGGAATGGAAGGACTGATACGTCTTGCAGACAGCTGGTCATTTGCATCCTTTTTAGAGGGTCATTGAGGCCACTTGGACCCTGAAGATGCAATCAAACCTCCGAGCGGCCTCAACGACTCTCTAAAAGGACACAAATGACCAGCTGTCTGCAAGGAGTATCAATCCTTCCATTCCCCACCATTCAGTCAGAACTGAAGAAGCTTTTGGGATGAGAAGCGAAACGTCTTCGAAGAGAAAACAAGGAAGTCCAGTTGCCTCTTGGAAAAAGCACCTTTGGGATTTCTTCCAGGTTGTAAATAAAAAAATATTTATTCTGCTATATTTGAGATGAATACATTTTCCTAGCTTGGGACAGGCTTCTCAACATTCTAATTATTTTTAAAATATTATAGTGAACACCACTGAAGTAGATTTACAAGCCCTTGGAGCTACTACTTTGAATGTATTGGTCATGTTACCTCCACCATCCAAATTAAATGATGGCAAGGCATTATTATAGGAGTCCTAGATACCCAGTTGCTTTTCATGATTGTCATTTTTCTTCTATTTTTTAATACAAAATATGCTCTTTATTTCAGTCTATTCTCCTCTTGTTTTCAGGTATCAAGGCCCCCAGCTGCTGAGTTGCCAGTGCTTGCTGACTCTGGGATCCACTCCTGCAAGTAGTCCCGGGACTTACAACCACCACTGAGCCCAAAAGTTCTGCTGTTAGGCGAGACATTTGTTAAGTGAGCTTTGCCCCATCTTATGACCTCACTTGCCATAGCTAAGCGACTCACTGCAGGTGTTGAAACTAGCAACCCGGTTGTTAAGCGAATCTGGCTTCCCTGTTTGACTGTGCTCGTCAGAAAGTCGCAAAAGGGGGTCACGTGAACACCCCCCCCAGAACACTGCGACCGTCGTAAATATAAGCCGGCCGCTAAATGTCTGAATTTTGATCATGTGACCGTAAAGATGCTGCAACGGTCATTAAATGTGAAAAATGGTTGTAAGTCCCTTTTTTTTCATTGCCGCTGTAATTTCAAACAGTCACTAAATGAACTGTTGTAGGTCGAGGGCTACCTGTATACCCTTTGGATGCACATGGAGATGTATGGATTCTGTCGGCTGACCTCCCCTCCCCCTCCCCTCCCCCTCTTGCTGAATTCTTGCCATTTGGGCCTACCCCAAACTTTACTCTGGAATGAGCTCCCCCCGGAGATACGGAGGATCCCGGATCTGCGCACTTTCCGCCGTGCTCTTAAGACCCTCCTATTCCAGCAAGCCGGCCTGGCCTAATTTTCTCCCCTTTCTTTTTAATTTTTTAAACTAAAATTTTAAATTTGTTTTAAATTATGGGGTTTTTTAACTGTCTTGGGCTAAATTATTTAATTTATTATTTAATTATTTAAATTATTTATGTATTTTATTCTGTGCCTGTTCACCGCCCTGAGTCCTTCGGGAGTAGGGCGGTATATAAATTTAATAAAACATAAACATAAACAAACATACTCCATGTGTAGCCCTGTTAAAAGAGTTTTAATTCCTCCCTATGGGCAGTGAAGTACAGGAAAATGAAATCATCTCCATCACTACCTGGCTGAATTTTTGGCAGTGGAAGAGAAGAGGTCAATTCTGCAACTCTAACTGGGCAACTAAAGCACACAAATTTACATTTTTTTAAAAAAAGGAAAAAGCAAGAAGCTTGGGAGGAAAAAACATGGCTAATCGTCTGTTAAGTTTGGCAATTTAACAGAAAACCATGTCCAAAGACTTGGACAGACGCCTTCATTTTATTTATTTGTTTTCCCCTCTAGGTGTATTTTCACCCATAGTACACTAAATCTGTTGTAAACCTATGGATTTATTCAACGTATTTGAAAATTTACTGCCAAAAAAAGTCCCTGTAGTTTTATAACTCTGACCTTAATCAGTTTTCCTGGCTACAGATAAAGTAACTGAGCAAAAGATGTTAGAAGCACAACTGGCACAGTGCATAGTAAGATAAAGATGGTTTTCCTCAATATATAATACAGGCTTGTCCTCCTCCAGGTGCATTCTGACAATCTACCCAGATTTCCCCAAATTTCTAGTCAGAAGCCGTTACGCTGGGAAAGGCTGCTAGAAAAAATGTAAACTATTGTATGCGAAAGACTTAATGTCTTCAGTTATCTTTTCACAGAGTAACGAGAAAAAGGACTTTCATCAATAGAATTTAGTGTATGAAAACTAGTCCTTGTTGGATCTAACCTTTTCCTGCAGTTTCAAATTCCAGGAACAAAAATTAAATCCACATCTAATAAAGAAACCCAAACTGGTTTGTAAAACAGCCTTATGACCCATACTGGTTGAAGACCCATTAAAGTTATTTCATATTAAATATATTGCTGTTATTCTTGTAGCAACTGCTCAATGTGTTTAACATACTTTGCTATCAAAGAGCTCTGCATACAAAGTGTATAGCAGCTAAGGTTTTTTTTTTTAAATAATAAAGTGTACCTTTAAAAAAAAATTGGCACTGACTGATGGCTTTTACACTACAACGAATTGGTTATGTTCACATTCAGGGAACACACATTTATTTTAACTCATGATAAGAAAAGGAAAAAATGTATCTTGCCAATGCTTAATATTACATCCACAAATGTAATTTTAGGGATTCTTAAATATATATATATACCTGGTGGATCCATAAAATCGAAGTGAACTAAATCATCTATGCCAAGTTTCTTCAGCTGTAAGACCACAGAACCCAAGTTTGACCTCAGAATCTCAGGATAGGTATTGTCCTGGAAATGAATATTTTATATATATTTAGAAGAACTTAATTCAGTTTCTGTTTTGGTTATTTTTTTGATTAAAAAAGGACAGGCCTAATAGGAAGCAGTTAACCCAAATGGAATTGTAAAAGCCTGTTTCATGTTTAATAGCAGCTATTTCCTGAAAACTGCTACCCTGCTGGATAACAGTAGCAGCCATTTTAATGCCAACATGTTTATATCTACAATTGTTCAGAATTCTGCAATTTTGAACCAAGAATGAAAGCAAACCATCGCCATTAAAAAAAAACAAAAAACAAAGTGAAAGCAAATAAATCTTTTGGATGACCCGAGAAGCAAACATGGTACATGAATAAGAATATTAAAATCCAGAATATTAAACTGCTCGCTCTTTTATTGGGCCACGCTCTTTCCTAGCCAAGAAAATAAATTATGACGGCTAGTGATGAAAATATACAGGTAATCTTCAATTTACGACCACAATTGAGGATAGGATAGGATAGGATAGGATAGGAGAGGATAGGATAGGATAGGAGAGGATAGGATAGGATAGGATAGGATAGGATAGGATAGGATAGGATAGGATAGGATAGGATAGGATAGGATAGGATAGAATAGGATAGAATAGAGGAGAAGAGGATAGAATAGAATATAGAATAGAATAGAATAGAATAGAATAGAATAGAATAGAATAGAATAGAAGAGAAGAGAAGAGAAGAGAAGAGAAGAGAAGAGAAGAGAAGAGAAGGACAGGATATAGAATAGAATAGAATAGAATGGAATGGAATGGAATGGAGTGGAGTGGAGTGGATAGGATAGGATAGGATTCTTTATTGGCCAAGTGTGATTGGACACACAAGGAATTTGTCTTTGATGCATATGCTCTCAGTGTACATAAAATAAAAGATATGTTCACCAAGAATCAAAATTTATTTTAAAATTTACTTATTTGTTAAGTGAGAAATTTGTTAAGGGAGTTTTGCCCCATTTTACGACTTTTCTCATCATGTTTGTTAAGTGAATCCGGCTTCCCCATTGACTTAGCTCATCAGAAGGGGGATCATGTGACCCCGAGACACTGCAACGATCATAAATATGAGTCAGTGGCCAAGCATCCAAATATAAATCACAGGGCCGTAGGGATGCTGCAACGATCATAAGTGTGAAAAATGCTCCCAAGTCCCCTTTTCTCTGCGCCACTGTAACTTTGAACAATCACTAAATTAACTCTTATAAGTTGAGGGCTACCTGTATCTCCACAGACCCAAATTCAGCGCCCGACATCGCTTAGGATCCAAAGCTAATGAACTGCCACTTTAACGAACCTGCATCTCGGTTTTGTACGCCTTCTCTGTGTATAGCCGGAAACATTTCCCGGGCCGAGTACGACCTGCACGGCCGGCTCTCTGCTGAGCGGAAGCTTTGCTGATCGCGGTCACCAACAGAGATTCCACCCTGATTCGCGGATTGTAGACCTATTGGGTAGAAGAGTCAAAATTAAATAATAGATAAAATGTTCACACTGAGTATTTTTCCCCCTGAAAGGAGAATATTTATAGCTCAGGGTTGAAATGGGGGCTCCTTGGCACTCTCTGAGCTTGCTTGTTTTCTTGTAGACGTTTCATGACCCAACTAGGTAACATCATCAGTGCTAGTCTGAATATCACCGATGATGTTACCTAATTAGGATAATGAAACGTCTACAAGAAAACAAGCAAGCTCAGAGAGCATCGAGGACCCCTCATTTTTCCCCCTCTAAAAATGTGTTGAGCCTCATCTTAAAATAAAAGATGTAATAAATGTTGTCCTTTTATTTACTAATCTTCTCTGCTTTAATATAACGACATTTTAAAAAGAGTTAAGCTACAGCTTATGGGGTATTCTTGAATTTTTCCTTCCAACACTCAAGATCAGGGATCTCCAACCTTGGCAACTTTAATCCTGGTGGACTTCAACTCCCAGAATTCCCCAGCCAGCTTCGCTGGAGAATTCTGGGAATTGAAATCCAACAAGTCTTAAAGTTGCTAAGGTTCGAGACCCCTGCTCTGGGACATGTTGAAGACCCAGGGAAAGGAGAGGGACGACCTTAGAATCGGTTAACAATACCATACCATACCATATATAGTATATATAATATAATATAATATAATATATATAATATAATAATATAATATAATATAATAAATATAATAATATAATATATATATAATATATATATATATATATAATATAATATAATATAATATAATATAATATAATATAATATAATATAATATAATATAATATAATATATAATAAATATAATATAATATAATATAATATATAATTATTAATATAATATAATATAATATAATATAATATAATATAATATAATATAAAATCTTTGTTTACCTTTTGTTTCGCAAAGCCAGGATCAATGACGAAAACAACACCATCTATTGTCAATGATGTCTCGGCAATATTAGTTGATACAACAACCTGTCGAAAAATACAGGAGAGTTTTCTGCTGCCCGCATTACACAGAAACGTTAAATATTGCTAGCACATAAAAAATAAAAAGGCCACGTCCGCCCAATGCTTCTGACCTCAGTTTTGGTCCTGCTCTGTAGATGCCCAGCAAGTCAAAAGACATCCATAAAACTGACCAGACTCTAACAATACACAGGCATAGTTTTTTAATCCTAAAATTCGGTGCAAACTCTGTGGTGGTTCTAGAGTCTTACAAAATTCCAGATTGAATTCAAAAATTCAACCTACAGCATCGAAAATCTCAATGTAAATCCTGCCTGGGGGTGGGGGTGGGTTGGGGAGAAGATATTCCAGGCCAGCTACACCATGAGACCTGCATTTCAACAAACAACCTTGAAATTGCCAGTCAAGCGCGGCTGATGGGAAACCTCTTTTTCTTGCTAACTTCCTCCCCAACTTCAGGGCTTGACAATGTAAAGACTTTTGAGCCTGGCTTGTAAGACACCTGGGCTCCCCCTGAACGATGCTGTACTGGTATGGAATTAAATGATTCCCTCCTCCGAAACCAAGAGACAGCAGGGCTTCACTTCTCATCTAATCTAACCCAATTCCCCTGTAATGGGAGGCCTGCAAACACCTTAAATTTGATACGCTGCAAAACAGCCCAACACAAACTCAACACAAGCGCAATTGTATCTGGTGGAAAGAATGCCTAACTTACAGGATTCACAGGACCTTGAAAAATAAAAGCTTTTGGGGGGTTATTTTCTTCCTATTAGGAGGAAGCTAAGTCCTTAGCGGATCCATTAGGACAGTGTCAGTTACTTATATTTTGCAAGTACTTGCTAAGCATCTGCAATCACAAGAAAACAACAACAGCCTTAAGAGCCTTGGTGGCGCAGCAGACTAAAGTGCTATTAAGTAGCACCAGCTGCCTGCAATTACTGCGAGTTTAATTCTCACCAGGCTCAAGGTTGACTCAGCCTTCCATCCTTTTGAGGTAGGTAAAATGAGGACCGGATTGTGGGGGCAATAAGATGACTTTGTATAAAAAATAACACCGCTTAGGGGGGCCAAAAGCCCTACTTAGCAAGTACATACAAAAGTATGAAGGCTCTTGCTTAACGCATTGTGAGCCGCCCTGAGTCTCCGGAGAAGGGCAGCATATAAATCGAACCAATAAATAAATAAATAAATAAATAAACACACTCTTCATGTTTTCCAGAAAAGCACCAAGGCATCCAACAAGCTCTCAACAAGCGTTTATTATTACATTAGAAATCTCCAATGTTCGTATGCTGAATCAAACAGCGCCAGCATTTCTAATTTGAGGAAAAAATGGAAAACTACCACGAGTTCATAACAGGGTAATGATAACTTACTACTGCCCTAGCTTTGTCAACTTCAAATATAGGCCCAACCATCCAATGACATAACAGAGGCTTATTTCCCTAGATGCAAAAAGCAATGTACTCTGTTGGAACACGGTGTCATCAGCATAACGCACACACAGCGGGTTATAGCTAAGGAATAAACCTTGCCCGGAATATCTATGGAGATTCTCAGTCATCCAGGTCATGGTTCTACAGCGACAGTACAATGCAAGGAGACGTGTGCAGAACTGTACGCTGGGGAAACAAAACAACCACTTGACAAACCGATGGCGCAACATAAGAGAACAAACCCATCAGCGGTCTACGAAGGCCACTCTTCTTAAGATAGCAAACTCCACATTTTGGAGAGAGGACCGCTGGTTTGGAAGAGGGGTCAAAGAGGGCATCCATGTCAAAATTGAACAATTTTGGGATACGACACCATCTGTCTATCTCCAGTTTACAACACAGTCCTTTCAGCAGTTCCGGGAAGTTTCACACTCATTTGCGCCACTCAGGTGACCCTGAGGACACAGATAAACCTCCAGGTGGCCTCAACAACTCTCTAAAAGAATATAAACGACCAGCTGTCTGCAAGGAGTATAAATCTTTCTATTCCCCACCATCCAATCAGAGCGGAAGAAGCTTAGACCTCCGGTTGCAACCTAAGTGAGCTGGAAAATAGCGGGCTCTGCTGAGCCCCAAGAAAATCCAGCTAGTAACTGCTGCCAGGAGACTCTTCGGTGTCACAGCCGTCTTGTCAGGACGGTGAAGGAAGGAGAGGCGCTTCGCTGACCACGAGGAATCCGCAAATTCGTTAGGTCCGAAGCAAGCTCTCCCCAAACGGCAGCAAGCACGGCCGCCATTGCTGGCAGCCACGAATCCATGACAATCGGGAACCAAGATTGTGCAGGAGCAGTGTATGGACAGAACACTAAAATTGGGTGAGATATTTACCAACTTTTACTTTAATGACTTGCAATAACAAAAAGATTATGAAAAGAAAACTCCTAAGCTTAAAATAGCAGCGAATTGACACATGGAGGGAAAAAAAACCCAGAAACGAAAAGAGCTGAAGAAGCTTCTTGGATGAGAAGCGAAACGTCTTCAAAGAAAAAACAAGAAAGTCCAGTTGCCTCTTGAAAAAAAGCACCCTTGGGACATAGGTGAAGAAGGAAACTATCTTACAGCGCATTTTATGCATTTTTTTATTGCCAAGTCTTATGGAAGTGCAGTGCTAAAATCAGGGATGCAAAAATAAAGCTTTAGTGAACTTACCTTTCGTCCTATTGCACCGTTTGGCTTTTTGGGAGGTGGGGGCTCAAAAATCCTCTGCTGTTGTTGAGGAGGAAGCGTGGAATATAACGGAATGATCTTAATGTCACCGACCTCAGGGCCCAGATCGTCAATTTCACGCTTTATCCTCTTGCAGGCTTCATCTATCTCCTGCGCAGAAAAGTCCATGAAAACATTATTAAAAAATAAAATAAAATAAAAATTAATTACTGTACTTTTTTTTTTTTAAAGCAGCCCTCTTGCAAAACAGGATGCTTCAGAACTTCTTTATACACTGGTTGAATTTCCAATAGGATTTCCAACAGTCCAAGGGGTTTCTGGTTTTATATCAGGGAACATAACCGCCTTATTTGTATTCATTGCCCTTTTTGTCTTTTAGTTATATTTCCTAATTAATTCTCTACAAATTGTACTAAAATTGAAATCTCTCACCCAGGAATATTAAACTGCACTCGTGACCTTTTCAATTTTCACAATCTGAAGGAAATTAATGTGCACGATATTTTTAAATAAGCCAATTAAGCTTTAATGTCACGTATCACTAATGCAATTATAGGGGAAATTTGCTTTATTGTACCTAATGAGAACATGCACCTTCACAGTATAAACAGAGTTGTTCCAAAAAGAAGGCCTCTCTCTACCTAAATCAAGAGGACGTAGAGCACGCATTTTGAGTTTCACAGGAAAATATTATGCATCTTTCCAAGTTAAGTGCTCCAAGTAATCGGAATCTCAAAACACTTTGCCACTTAAAATTATTTTTAAGAAGCCCAAGAAACAATTTCAACAAGTAGTTTCACCTATTAACAAGAGTTCTTGTACTATTTCCAAATAATCCACACTAAATGGATGAATTAGCCGAATAGCAGTAGAACAGATCTATATTAGACAAAAATAAAGGTAGGAAGTCAGAGGTAAGAACTGTGAAGCATTCTCTATACAGAATTGTCTCGAAACTTATGACAATACTGAGGGAGGGAGGGAGGAAAGAGAGAAGGAAGGAAGGAAGGAAGGAAGGAAGGAAGGAAGGAAGGAAGGAAGGAAGGAAGGAAGGAAGGAAGGAAGGAAGGAGAGGAGTGAGGGAGGGAGGGAAGGAAGGAGTAAGGAAGGAAAACTGCTGATGTTAGTTGATGGCTAGTTGTAACCTCACACAAGCCACCAAAGCAACTCTAGAAGAGTCACTCAGCTCTTCCAGCTGCTTAGCAACCCTGATGGACTTGAAATGTTTGTTTCCCTGGGAACACCTGAAGTCATCATTCCCGAAGGAGAATGGAAGGCAGCTATTTTGGCTTAGCTGTATTTCCTCGCTCTGTGTGTGGCTTTGTACTTTCCACCCAGTGTGCCAGCGGCGGAAAGCAACGCTAGCAAACCTACAAGTAGCTATGTTTGAAATTGTACAGGTGCTGAAAGTAGATCTAGCCTCAAGGTGTTTCATGCACTCAAAGCAAGCCCATAGCCAATCTCACGTATTCTGCTTGTAGCTGGCAATGGACCAAACATTCAAACTTTAGAAAATCAACTAAGCTGGAGAAAAAAGGAATCAGAATCACAGAATACTAGGACTGGAAGTATTCCTTGCTCAAGCAGATCCTTACAGAATCATAGAATAACAGATTTGGAAGGGACCTTGGGAGATCTGCTAGTCCAACCCTCTGCTCAAGCAGATGACCCTGTACCATTCCAGATTGCTGTCCAATCTCTTCCAACCACTTCTGGAGGCAATCCTTGAAAACTGAAAAAAATTTTTAAAAAACACCTTCCCTTCCTAGCATCAAACCCACCACTACAAGACGGATTTTGTAAAAACGTGAAATAAGATTCTCAACAGCAGGATTTTATAAATCACTAAAAAATAACAGAAGAGGGCTGTTTTTAATCAACTAATCCATCACTATGACAATAGAAGAATATTTTGTTGACAAACCAAGAGCAGCCCTTCATGCAACTTTTGGAATTTTAATACAAGAAAGATCCATTTTCTGTATTTAAAGGTATAAAAGCACAGAGAATGCCAGCCTAATCCCAGTATATGTTTTAGAAGAACCAGCCAATTTTATCACTGTCAATCACCCAGGACGGAATTGAAGCACTTATTAGATCAGGCACCAAGTCTTGCTTTGGCACTCAAGGATGGGTCTAATCTTCGACAAGTGAAAATTAAATCTAAATTCCTGTGCTGCAAATATTATTATTATTATTACCAAAGATTACTACTACAAAGATTATTACTTCATCTAGTCAAAAGCCTTTTCAAGTCATCATTCTTGGTCATACCAATCAGGGCCATTCAGAAACCTCGCGCACACAGCCTAAAAAAAAAAGCAAAGCCTGTTTCCTACAAAGTTGTATTTAAGGCATACAGATAATTTCTTCCTCCAAAATCCCAGCCTCTTTATAAGCCCTTCTAAACGGTGGCCATCGCCATCTTCTTCAACTTCTGCCTCCAGGAGTTGTAAATGCTCCAACACTGGAAGTTTTTAAGAAGAGATTGGACAGCCATTTGTCTGAAATGGTATAAGGTTTCCTGCCTAAGCAGGGGGTTGGACTAGAAGACCTCCAAGGTCCCTTCCAACTCTTCTATTCTATTCCATTCTATTCCATTCCATTCCATTCCATTCCATTCCATTCCATTCCATATTTTCTATTCTATTCTATTCTATTCTATTCTATTCTATTCTATTCTATTCTATTCTATTCCATATTTTCTATTCTATTCCATTCCATTCCATATTTTCTATTCCATATTTTCTATTCTATTTTTTCTATTCTATTCTATTCCATATTTTCTATTCTATTCTATTCTATTCTATTCTATTCTATTCTATTCTATTCTATTCTATTCCTATTCCTATTCCATTTTCTAATCTATTCTATTTTCTATTCCTATTCCTATTCCATTTTCTAATCTATTCTATTTTATATTCTATTCTATCCTATTCTATCTTTGATGGCAGAAGTGTTAATACTAGCAGTTAATAGAATAGAATTCTTTGCAGAATAGAATTCTTTATTGGCCGAGTGTGATAGGACACATAAGGAATTTGTCTCCGGTGCAGTAGCTCATAGTGTATATACAAACAGCAAAGTGATAGGTCATAAATCATAGTTACAATCATTTATCGTAAAGTTGCGAACAACAACTGATAAATCGTAAGAAACCAATAGGAGAAGATAGTAAGAAAGATGAGAGGATGAGGGGGGGAAATGAGAAATGAGAGAGTGCTGTGGTAATTAAATGTTCACAGAGGGATGGCGCAGGGGGAAAAACTGTCTAGTTGTTTTATCCTGCGATGCCCTATAGCATCATTTGGAGAGTAGAAGTTGAAAGACTTTATGTCCGGGATCCGAGGGGTTTGTAGCTATTTTCTCAGCCCTCTTTTTAACTCGTGCAGGATACAGGCCCTGCATACTCGTGCAGTGCGCAGGCTGGTTGCAATTGATTTTTTCTGGGGTTGCTGCAATGGACGTTCAGTGTGAAAAACTGCCATAAGTCACAAGTGCAGTTGTGACTTTGAACGGTCACTACCTGTATTTCCATTTCTCTTATTATTCCTATCAAAGGACAGTGCACAGAATGGATGCCCAATGTATTCTCTAGGCTAGGGGTCTCCAACCTTAGCAACTTTTAAGCCTGGAGGACTTCAACTCCCAGAATTCTTTGCTGGCTGGGGAATTCTGGGAGTTGAAGTTCTCCAGGATTTAAGTTGCCAAGGTCGGAGACCCCTGCTCTAGGCATCGTTTTGCAAAAGGATTGATTCTTCAAAGGGTTCTTGGATTTTTCTGTAGTGCTGCCATAGAATATTTCTTTTATTGCTGGTCATATAGCTAAAATGCCAAGTATTTTAATTGTTTTCATGAAAATCTCCCTGGTTCTAACTCATCAGTAAACAGTAGGGCAATTAAGCCTTAAAACTTTTGATAGCGGACAACCAGATTTTGCTACGTGGGGAAAGTAATAATTTTTAAGCTTTTCATTTTAATTCGCAGATATCAATATCGCCATCATTTGCAAGTTGGAACTATACAGGTTTGATAAATATTAAGGTACTTTAAACCGCAGAGTCAAACCAACGTAGAAAATGCAAAACAAAACCACAGAGGAAAATTTGAGACACACGAAATTGTAAAATACCTCTTGTCCAGTAAGAAATAGGAGGAGGTCTCCTTCCTCTTCCTCACACATATGGATCTGTATTACTGTACGAATGGCCGCTTCGAGGTAATCCCTTTCTGGTTCTGGCGTATAAAAGATCTCCACCGGATGCGTACGACCAGGAATTGTGAGGAGAGGACAGTTATCGAAATAAATCTGAAACTTGCCAGCATCTAGAGTAGCGCTCATAACTATCACCTAAAAAAACAAAAATAAAAAGACAGGAAGAATGAAAAGTTGGACCTCGTGGGACCAAGTCTTAAATTTCAAAAGTACAACATTAAAAACAAAATGAAACCTGCTTCTGCCGGTAGTTGACTTGCAACTGCCAACTAGGACTGGAATTTCAGTCACTAACAGAAGCAGTTGTTAAATGAGCCTCCATTCTTATGGCCATTTTCACCCTACTCCAGTGATGGTTAACCTTTTTGGTGCCGAGTGGCCAAAGCATGTGTGCATGCACAAACCCTCAAAATGCAATGCGAGTGCCCCCATGCATGCATCCCGCCCGCCACGCATGTGCACCCCACCCCCCACATGTCCCCCCGTGCCCCATTTTCGCTTCCAGGTTGGTGCAGGAAGCTTTCCAGGCCCAAAACAAGGGGGGGTTGCAAACCCCCAAAATGCAATGCGAGCACCCGCTGTGCATGCCTGCGTGTGTCCCCCATATGTGCCCGCCCACCGTGTATGCACAGCAGAGACCCAAAAACCAGCTGGCCAGTGGGAGGCGTGTGTGCATGCGTGGTGGAACTGGACTGGGGCGATGGCTGGCGTGCCCGCAGAGCATGCCATAGGTTCACCATCACGACCTTAGTCATTAAGCAAATCCGGCTTTTCTGACTGACTCTGCTTTTTGAAGGCCAGCTGATAAGGTCACAAACTGCAAGCACCTTTGGGACAACTGAGAATCTCTACAGAGAGAAAGCAACTTAAAACTAAGGAGAAACTTCCTAACGGTGGAGACAGTTCACCAGTGGAACAGCTTGCCACCAGAAAGTTGTGGGTGCTCCCTCACTGGAGGCTTTTAAGAAGAGTCTGGACATCCACTTGTCTGAAACGGTGTGGGTTTTCCTGGTTGGGCTAGAAGACCTCCAAGGCCCCTTAATTCTGTTAAAATGGCCTTGGGAGTCAGAATCACCCAGGCGTAATCTAAGGGGTCTCAGCCAACCCGAGAGCTTGTTTCAGACTCGAAACAACACCCATTTCGCTTCTTCTTTTTCTTCTTCTGCATCAAACGCCCCCACTCCGGCTTGATATATTCCACTGACCTTTAAATCCGATCTCTACCTCACCACCTCCTTCAGAACTCCCATCAAAATATCCGTCGCCAGCGTTCTTTCGTGGGCCTCGTCAAGAATGATTACCCCGTAACGTTCGAGCAAAGGGTCATTCATCGCTTCACGCAGCAACATACCATCCGTCATATACCTTGAGTGGGAAACCAGTAGATGAATTCCAGAGCTACTAAGTTTTGCTTCTCTGGATTTTTTTTTTTTTTTCATTTATATATATATATATATATAATAACCTTAACCTTACTAAGCAGCATTTAAAATGTTAACAGATACGGTTGTGGGCGTTAAAGGGTGCCCTTCTCTTGGGTCTGGCAGCGAACAGTTAATCCAGGAAACAAAACGTTAAAACTTTGATTTGTAATATTTATTGGGAAGAAAGGTAAAGCAACATCACAAGAATTCCAGCAAAGGTTTTAGTTTTGATTAGTGCCTCTGAATCGCGTAGATTTGGTATCTGCCAACCCCTTTAACGGAGTGGAGAATGATTCTCATATGATTTCTATGCACTGGGGAGTAAGCTCTGCTCCTATTCCCTTTGCAAATTTGAATATTTACCATTAAAAATGTGTACCTACGAACCTTTTCTTTCTATATCTAAGCATGCATATACACTTTTACACTTTTTTCCTGTTCTGCCTAGGGCTGGTTTTATTCATATATCACCTCGCATAACTGAGAGAGTGAGATGCAACACCAGGGCCCAAGGAATAATAATGACCGATCTTGTGATAAATTGAGGACTTGATTGGGAGAAACACATCAAGGTATATCATCATCATCTCCTTTTAACCACCCCATAATTCCTTGCGGGATGGAGTCAGGGCAACTGAATGGAGCTAGCAAAGTGTTTTAATGGCCAGATGCCCTTCCTGTTGCCAGAGCGGAGTTTTGTTCAGCAGATATATCCTCATTGTGCCCAGAGAGAGAAATATCTGCCTCTACCTAGGATCGAACTCACAGCCTCCTGATTGTGAGGCGAGAGCTCCACCCTCTAGGCCACCGCGCCACTCCATACCCATCAAGGTATATACTTACTTCAAAATCGTTTTGGCGCTGCTGCAGTCTTCAAATCGAATAGAATAACCGACTTCTTGACCCAACATCACATCCATTTCGTCCGCAACTCGCTGGGCCACACTCATCGCAGCTACTCTCCTCGGCTGTGTACAAGCCACACCTCTCTTTGGCCCTGGCAGCGACCGCATGTAGTCAACGCACCACTGAGGGATCTAACGGGGGGGGAGGAGGAGTCCCGGTTATTAAAGAGACTTAGGAAGATGTTATAGCTGGCTTTGAAGTAAAGGCAAACAGATCTGCACCAATCAAACAACGGAAGGGAAGAACAAAGGCTGTGCTACAGAAAGACCTTTCAGAAAACATTAACTGAAGTCAGCTTTATTTACACTATTAGTAAGTTAAAAGCAACAGGCATAAGCAATGAAGGAAGAAGACAAATTAAAAAGCACATTAAGATATGCCAATAAGATGGCTATGAATATATACTGTAATAAAGGTTTAGAAGCGATTCATTTAAACCCATCTTTAATAACTAAAGATATTTAAGCTGTCACATATAGTTATTGTTCAAAGCGCTGTGGTCACCGAGCCTGAGTAACAAAGCACTCCAGAGTTTGCAATTCCATTAGCCTATAGATTGCTTTAAAAAGAAAGCCTTAATAAACGTTATAAAGCCACTGTAAATTAACTTGAAAAAAAACAACACACCTTATAGAGTAACACAACCATCCAAAAAGGCCAGGCAACATTTGCCAATAACATACAACATATGTATACATACAACATACAATTTGGTTATAATAACATATAACCAAAATATGTAATTCAAAGCCAAAACCTTAAATATGGGTAGTCCTCAACCTACGACCACAATTGAGCCCCAAATTTATGTTGCTAAGTGAGCTTTGCCCCATTTCACGCCCTTTTTTTTGCCACTGTTGCTAAGTGAATCACTGCAGGTGTTGAATTTGGATGTGAAATGAATCTGGCTTCCCACGTTAACTTTGCTTGTCAGAAGGTCGAAAAGGGTGATCGTGTGATCCCCGGGACTCTGCGACCGTCATAAATACGAGTCACTTGCCAAGCACGTGAATTTTGATCACATGACCCTAGAGGGTGCTGCAACGGTCGTTAAGTGTGAAAAACGGTCACAAGTCACTTTTTTCAGTGCCATTGTAGCTTTGAACGGTCACTAAACGAAACAGTTTATTTATTTATTTATTTATTTATTGGTTCGATTTATATGCCGCCCCTTCTCCGGAGACTCAGGGCGGCTTACAATGCGTTAAGCAATAGCCTTCATCCTTTTGTATGTACCTGCTTAGTAGGGCTTTTGGCCCCTCCTAAGCGGTGTTCTTCTTTTTAATACAAAGTCAGCTTACTGCCCCCACAATCCGGGTCCTCATTTTACCTACCTCGGAAGGATGGAAGGCTGAGTCAACCTTGAGCCTGGTGAGATTTGAACTTGCAGTAATTGCAGGCAGGTGGCAGCTAAGTGCTACTTAAGTGCTACTTAACAGCACTTTAGTCCGCTGCGCCACCAAGCCTCTTAAATCAAGTTAAATCAAGGATAACCTGTTTTAGGCTTAAAGGAAATACAAGTAATTCACTGTCATTTAGAATGATATGTTACTGTGCTGTAATCTTTTTTGTTTGTTTGTTTTTTACTGACTCCATAATCCCTTGCGGGGCGGAGCCTGGGCAACTGTTTGGAGCCGAGTGTTTACTGGCCAGATGCCCTTCCTGTTGCCAGTGCGGAGTTTTGTTCAGGAGATGTATTCTCATTGTGCCAGGAGAGAGAAATATCTGCCCCTACTTAGGATCGAACTCACAGCCTCCTGATTGTGAGGCAAGAGCCCTAGCTCTACGCCACCGCACCACTCACTGTGCTGTAATCTTTCCTTTCCCAAAGAGGGTTTTTTTTCATATAATGCAAAAAAAAAAAAAGTCATTAAGGAAAGGTCCAAACATGGCACTTAGCAATCCCTCTGACACCTGCGGGATTGAGGATAGTAAAACGGATGTCATGAGGAGGTACCAGTCAGACATGTACTACTAGCAAAGGCACTTCAATATTTCACGCTTATAATAATCTGTCCCTGAACAATATTCACCGTGTTTTACTTTTGCTTTTGAAAATCCCAGAACGCCCGTATCACTTATACAGAGATTTTTCAGGGCAACGTTATCAGCAACGTTAATTCTGCTCTGAGGACTTTATCCAAGAGTTTTATACCCAAAAAATAATAATAAAGAATTCAATTCAACGTTTAGTGTTTTCAGGGAATTAGATTTAAGAATGTGAGTAATGGCATTCTGTTTTATTTTTTGCTTTAAGCCAGTCAGTACACATCAAAAAAAAAAACAAAAACCCCGCTTTGTCTTCATCTACGTGGTCAGTCTAAGTTTTGCAAGAAAACCAGAGCAGCAGATATTTATAGATTAACAGAGGTTTATGTTGAGCAATTCAAATCTCACTGAACCTTTCATGAAAACGGAGCAGACCCTGAAGATGCAGACAAAATGCCAGAGTTGGAGGGTGAGGGGATGGGATGGGAGGAGTGGAGGGTGGGAGAGAGATAGCAAAAGCTCACTGCATCATTTTCTAGTCATTAAACCACTAAAAGGTTCATTTAACAGATCTTGCTCAAAAAGGCTAAGTCTTGTGATGTGTCAGCGCACCATGGATTTCTTTTGAGGACCCTGAAATTTTGCTAATAGCAGGTGGAATAATTTCACGGAGACATTCAAACTTTGTGCAAATGCGCCACGTGCGAATCCGCGCAAAAGAACGGCTGAAGCGAAACTCACCTGTGTGGTTTTACCAGAACCCGTCTCGCCAACCAGCACGAAGGATTGATTTCTGATGAGGATGTCAGTAAATCTATCTTTGTATTCCCACACCGGGAGCTGCAGGCGTTTCTTTAAGATTTCGTAATAGCGAGGTGTGTGTGGCAGGTTTGTGAATGGGTTGATACTCTGTGGAAATACGGTGGGTTTCAAAGGGGGGAGCCCGACTCCGGTGAGGAGAGCCGAGTTGGGCGAAGGGCGCAAATCCTTCTCCTTATCTCTTTCCCGTTCTCTATCTCTGTCTCGATCCCTGTCCCGGTCTTTGGAGCGATCATCACGATCCCGGTCACGATCCCGATCCTTCCTAAATGATTTTCAGGAGAAAAACGAACAGTTTTCAAAGAAACGAAAGCTCCGTGCTGTTTAAAAAAACAAAAAGTGAATTAAAGGAAGAAAAAAAAACAAAGGACTTGAACCAACCTTCAGTAATTATCTAAGAACCCAGGAATTTTCCCAGAAATTCATTTCCCTCTTGCCCAATTTGTCACGTTACGTATTGACACAGGATAATAGGTGGAGTGCTACAAGATGCTAAATACCAGTTACACCCAACAGTTCCATCAATAACATTTCCATCTATTTAGAGCGGAGATCACCCCTGTCTTAAGGTACAATTTGAGCCGCAGTTATAACTGTAGCTGCAATTTCTTCACTTACGACCGTAATTGAGCCCAAAATTTATGTTGCTAAGTGAGACACTTGAAAAGTTGAGTTTTCCCTCCCTGTTTTACGACTTTGCCTGCCACAGTTGTTAAGAAAATCACTGCAATTGTTAATAACCCAGATGTTAAGTGGATCTGGCTTCCCCGTCGACTTTGCTTGTTAGAAGGTCGCAAAAGGAGATCCCGTGACCCCGGGACACTGCGACCGTCATAAATATGAACCAGTTGCCAATTTTGGTCACATGTCAAAAATTACCATTAAGTCCCTTTTTTCAGTAATGTTATAACTTCAAACTGTCACTAAATGAACTGTTTTAAGTCTTCACCATGTCCTTGCCCTTTAAAACTCTTATGCGATTCAGCAAATACCTGTTTCTTACGGAAGAATCAGATTATGGAAAAATCTTGTGGCACCAGCAAATATCTGATTCGGATATTTCCTGATTCCAGATGTTTCTAGCTTCAACCTCTGAGAGGTTTGACCTAGGAAGCCATCTGAAGCGGTTGGGCCTCCAAGAGAGACGCTATCAAACCATCTCACTAGGTCTTGCAGCGAGATTGTTTTGAGAGTGGTCTCTTCTCTTATAGGCCCTACCGCTTCGGACGACTTCCTAGGTCAAACCTCTCAGAGGTTGAAGCTCGACACATCTGGACTACCCAGCAACTATCTGGATAGCTGCACGTTCTTGAAGGACTTTTGACTGCAACTTATAGGAGAACCTCTGATTAAGAGGGTGATTTCCCAGGAAGTCAAATGAGAGGAAATGCACAGTAGGGAGTTTTTCTCAGGGATCATACCGTAAGCATGGAAAGACTGGGCGTCCTTACCCAATTTCACACAAGGTGAAAAGGGTTTGCTTCACTCAACTACGGGATTCATTCTGCTCTTTAAACTGATTGTGGTAATTTTGCTTGGTTGGTGTGTTTGCCTTTGTTTTAATGTTTCATTCTTCTACATACTAAAGCAAAATGCGAGTCCTAGGGTTATACATGATTTCAAACTAATATAGATCCATGGGCGATCAAGTGTTCAAATTTTAAATGAAGACAAGCTGACGAAAGACTGAGATGTAACTTTCCCATATACTTATTGGAAAACTACATATTCTTGGGCTTTTTCCCTCCACTCAGTATTAGCTATTTTAAATAGTTTGATATTTTGAGAACATGTTGTACACAGTTGCACAGGATGTCTGCGAAACACAAAACTCCAAGTTACTAGAAGGCAAACTGATGACAATGCAACTATCCACTCCTACTAGCTATATATAATCTCGATTTATTTCTGTATACCTTCTAGTTAATGACCTATGGGTCAAGAGATCCTCCAACTGAAATCACCTTTCCAATTTTTTGATTCAGAGATTTATTTAGCAAGAGCATGCAAACCAAACAAGCTATTCTAACAGAATATCATCAGTTGGCCACCATGTTTGCATTGGCTGGAATCATAAGCGAAGAGCTTGGGTCATGCAGGCACTAACTTCTGCATCCAACTGATGGAACACGGAACAACTTTACTATTAATATTATTTTTTTATGTCACTCTCCCTCTATATGCAACATATAACTTTACCAAACCTTGTTAAACTTGGTGATTGCAAAACAAATACTGAAGATCCTAGTGTGTTGGCTTAAGCAATGATGGTAACTATGCTTCTACACATTTAAATCACAAGCTATGTTCACAGACCATGAGGTCTGTGGTCTGTTTAAATTTACTTAATATACAAAGCCAAACCAAGGCAAGGCAATCATAGTATCAGCCTCAACAAACTGCAAATTCAACCATTACTGGAACTAGGCAAATGCAATTATATACAATAAACATACGTTGAGTATCCTACACAGATGTTGCTCAGGGGAAATATTTCTGTCCTGCAGCTTCCTTTTTTCCCCAAATGTACTTCCTTGGTGGCTTTTCTCACACCAGAAATGCTTTCAGCATTTTTTTCCCAGCCCAAGTTGAATTGTGTAAAATGAAACAACAGGGGAAATGATAGAGAAAGTAATGTTTCTGCTGGCTCTGACAAGGGAAGATTGATGGGATATTTTCCAAGTACCCCAGGAACATAAATCTGTCCAAAATATCAAACATGAACAACATATTTGACAGATGTTCCCATTAATTCCAATGGTGAAAATATCACTGTATATAACAGACCAAAAATGTAACCTATTTTCAAACAGGGAGATTGCTTATGTATCTTCCTCCTTTTCTGTAAGTATTTATATTAATATGTAATTTGAAGATTTATTATTAATACACAGTTTTAAACAATCATACTTTGGAGCAAGAATGCTAAATTGTGCAAGCTCTACCATTGCATATATAAGCTATAGGAGAAGAACTGATATTTTTTATAGGAACCTCAACTTGGCTTTTGTACTTTAATAGAATAGGATTCATTTTATGACGGTCACCATGCCGCTTCGTTGCACAGATTTGTGGCCATACAGGTATAAATAAAGCACTGAAGAATATGTTCATCTTCTGATTTTTATTCACATTTAAATTAATGGAGATTTAATTAATTGGGATTTCTTTAACCAAACTTCCCCTCTGAAATAAAAAAAAAATCCCACTTAGTGTTGATTGATTGATTGGTTCCATTTATATGCCGCCCTTCTCCAGAGACTCAGGGTGGCTTACAATGCATTAAGCAATAACCTTCATACTTTTGTATATACCTGCTTAGTAGGGCTTTTGGCCCCCCTAAGCGGTGTTCCTTTTTTTAATACAAAGTCAGCTTATTGCCCCCACAATCCGGGTCCTCATTTTACCTACCTCGAAAGGATGGAAGGCTGAGTCAACCTTGAACCTGGTGACATTCGAACTTGCAGTAATTGCAGGCAGCTGGTGTTACTTAACAGCGCTTTAATCTGCTGCGCCACCCAGGCTCTTGATGATCTTATTGTCATTGGTGAACCAATAAAAGTAATATTGTAATCTGCCTTAAGTGTTGGTATAAACATAAATATGGGGCACAACAAAAAGTAGATAAAACTGAAGTGATTAACCTCTAAAATATTATAGAATAATAATAACGGTAATACTATTTCCCTAACCAGAAAGGGTATGTAACTGCATGTGCAAAATTTATTTTGTGGGTTCAAGACTATAAAACTACATTCAGTAGTAAAAACAGTTGAAACAAGAAAGGATGTGCATGGAATTCACAACCACAAAGAGGAAAACATTTAAGAGTTTTAATTTTAAAAAGCTAGGTATATAATTTTTCCTATTTCCATTTCATCACCACTAGTTTAAATGCCCAGAACTCTACAAATACAGGCTTAATTTTAAACCATAAGAAAGTAACAGGCCATGATAGAACAGTATTTAAAAGCATGTTAGAATGAGCTGTAAACATTTGGAGTGAATGAGCTGTTTCAGTTCCCTGCCTAATTCAAACACTAGAGAAGAAATCAACAAATCCAAAGATGTTTTTTTTTTTCAGGAGGCAACTGGACTTCCTTGTTTTTCTTTGAAGACGTTTCACTTCTCATCCCAGAAGCTTCTTCACCTCTGACTGGACGGTGGGGAATGGAAGGATTTATATTCCTTGCAGACAGCTGGTCATTTGCATCCTTTTTAGAGAGTTCTTGAGGCCACTTGCAGGTGGCCTCAAATGACCAGCTGTCTGCAAGGAGTATCAATCCTTCCGTTCCCCACCATCCAGTCAGAGCTGAAGAAGCTTCTGGGATGAGAAGCGAAAGGTCTTCAAAGGAAAACATGGAAGTCCAGTTGCCTCCTGAAAAAGCACCTTTGGGACAAGCGTGATCTGGATGACTGAGAAGCTCCATAGACAATGTTTTCAGCGCTTATGGTGTTCAAGAACTAGAATGGACAGAATGCAAAACCAGTTGCTCCCAACACTAAACCTCTGGTATCAGGCAGGTTCAGAGTGTTTAATTCCCAGAACAACCCTCGTCTTTATGTATCCTGATACGAACTGCTAAACAAGGCGGTATCGTCACCAGCATCAAATATCACTATTGATTGCGTAACTGAGGGCCGTTAATAGAAATAACAAAATGTGTTGCTTCATCTTTTGATTCTGGGGCAGGGAGTTTTTCTCCTACCAAAAAAAAAAAAGTTAATCCAAGGGCAAAGTCAATCCACAATTGTTGCCTCTAATTTCAGAAAGGGAGTAATATTCTACCTTAATTAAAATGCTGGTTGTACTTGTTATATTGGGAGCGGGGGATGGGGTGGCTCATGCCTCAGTGACTTAATTTTTAAAATTATTAAATGACCACGCAAAATCTGTATTGACTGCCACACTAGAATTTAAAGCAAGCAGCTTTTGAAATTCTTGACAGGAAAAAAGGACCATATAAAGAAGAAAATATTAAGCTGCCCAAATTCTGGTGTTAGTACAAGCATCCATGCCCAATAGTTTTATGAGGTCAGGGTTCTTATTAAACCTGCATATTACACTAATCACTATCCAAAGAAGATATCCTAAGAGTGGTAGGATACACATTCATTAATTTTCCTCACCTGAGTTTTCAGATGAATGTTTTAAAAATGTGCATTACAGCACTGGGAAAAGATACATCCATCTTAACAAAAATTAACTTTAAGAATGCAAAAAGCAAAATAATTAAATTAAATAGTGTTAAGAATAAAAATTAAATCTAATTAAAACCAAAATTATAACAATTGATGCAAGAACAAAAGCTGTTTTGTACTGCACAGGATGCCATTATCCTTTGAAAGTACTGAAGTTTTAATCAAGTACCAGCTTTTATGTTCTCCATTTAAAAAAGAAAAAATAATGAATGAATATCATTGGGGAATTCCAATAGTTAGAAAATTGGCCCTGAAATAACAGAACAAATCCTGCTGACATTTGCCAATATTACAAATTATTTACGCTTTTCTTTGCAATAGTATGAAGGAATAAAAAGCAGAAGACAACAAGTTATCATGGATGCCATAAACTTCTCAAGCTGCTCCTTGACAACTAATCTTTTTTGAGGATCTGAAATTTAACTAGCTCTGCAAGTGGAAATGTGTTGAAAGAAACACAAAACTCCCTGCAGCACAACTCCCTGGAACACAAAATAAAATTCGGAAACCTGACTTTCAAGTGATTTAATGGGCCTGAATGTTATAGTCACTTGTGGAACAGGACTATCCTGACATTTTCAAAAGTAACTTTGACCAAATTAATGTTATCTTATTGTTATCACCAAATTGTAACTTTAAACCATGGGAATTCAAATCTCTGGATACTAGCTACTTTTTCCTTTTGCAGCTCGTCCTCGACTTACAACAGTTCATTCAAGGTTGCAACAGCAATGAAAAATGTGACTGATGACCATTTTTCACACTTAGAACTGTTGTTGCAGCATTCCCCAGGGTCACGTGATTAAAAATTCAGACAGCTGGCAACTGGCTCGCATTTATGACGGTTGCAGTGTCCTGGGATCATGTGATCCCCTTTTGTGACCGCAAAGTCAATGGGGGGAAACCAGTGTCACTTAATAACTCTAACTTAACTGCCACGATTCACTTAACAACTGTGTCAAGAAAGGTCGTAAAATGGGGCAAAACTCACTTAACAAATGCCTCGCTTAGCAACATTAATTTCAGGTTCAACTATGGCCATAAATTGAGGACCGCCTGTATTTTCCTATAACCAAAGCGCAATCACTTTTAAAGCAGATTTACCCAGCAATGCTTATCACGTGTCCAGGAGCAATGCAGAAAAAAAATCCACCAAAATGGTCAGCTGATAAAAGAATTTTAAGATAATTGAAGATTGAAGGGAGGGCAGAGAAACTCATTTTTAAAAAACCCTCTAATAGCATGTATGGAAATCACTGTCACCGGACAAAGTAACTTTTAAATGAAAAAAGTTGGGAAGGTGAAAACAGCTCTCAATGGCTGCAAACAAGGTCCAGAGTTTATTTATTTATTTTTGGTGCCCATCCCACCACAATGCGACTCTAGAGTTTACCACATTTAATGGTATACAGTCCTTAAGAAAGACAGTTCGCAATGGAAAGCCAATCAACCTTATGTGAAGGAAGCTTTGCATGACCAGGTATGTACTGGTACAAATTTGTAGGCCTTGGTTTATAGTAGTTAATAGTAATTTATTGAACTTGTATGCTGCTTGACTCTTGTTGACTCTGGGTGGTTTCCAACAATAAAAAACTTTCAATAAAATGAGATGGCAGGTGATGAAGTCAAATAGTACCTTTTCCAAAACGAAACTTGACTTTGGTTTTTTTTCTTCATTTGAAAACATTCCACTTCTCATTCAAGAAGCTTCAATTGGAAACAAAAAGGCAAACATTTTCAAAGGAAAAAAAACAACCACAAGGAAGTCCAGTTGCCTTTTGGAAAAAAAGCATCTTTGGGATAACTATGACCTGGTTGACTGAGGATCTCCACAGACATTCATCCAAATGTTATATCATCACACCTCCCTCTCTCTTTCAAACTAGAATTAACTCACCCCAGTTATTCACACAAAGCAACAGCGGAAGTGGTGCCCCCCCCAAACAAACTGGATTCAAACAGCAACAGCTTCTAATCCTCTCCAGCAAGAGCCTTTGCAAGGATCACGAAGGTTTTGCTGCATCAATTCTCTCCATCTGGTCTACTAACCCCCTACCCAAAAGAATGTTTTTAAAGACTAACAGAATAACAGAATTAGAAGGGACCTTGGAGGTCGTCTAGACCAACCCCCTGCTCTATACAATTTCAGACATATGGCTGTCCAAACTCTTCTTAAAAACTTCTCAATGTTGGGAAATTTCTTATTTCCAGGTTGCTTCTCTCTCCTTGATGAGTTTCCACCCATTGCTTCTTGTCCTGCCTTCAGGTGCTTTGGAGAATAGCTTGACCCCCTCTTCTTTATGGCAGCCCCTCAAATACTGCTATCATGTCACCCCTGGTGCTTCTTTTCTGTAGACTGGCCAAACCCAAATCTGGCAACCGTTCTTTGTATTAGCCTCCAGCCCAATAATCATCCTTGCTACTATTCTCTGCACTCTTTCCAGAGTCTCAACATCTTTTGTATAATATGGTGAGACCAAATCTGGATGCAATATTCCAAGGCTGGTCTTACCAAGCCAGTCCATGCTGTGGGCCGTGGATTTCTGCATCTCTGGCAAACCAAAGCCTTATAAAGACATTATAAGGGCATTATAAGTATGTAAGAGCCCTGGTGGCGCAGTGGTTAGAATGCAGTAGTGTAGACCAACTCACTGCACTGCCAGGAGTTCAATGACCGGCTCAAGGTTGACTCAACCTTCCGTCCTTCCAAGGTGGGTAAAATGAGGACCCAGATTGTTGGGGACAAGATGCCGACTCTGTAAACTTGCTTAGAAAGGGATGCAAAAGCATCATGAAGCAATATAGAAGTCTAAATGCTATTGCTATTTTCCTCCCTTCCTTCCCCTTCTTTTTCCTCCTCTCTCCCTACCCTATCATTTCTCCTTCCTTCCATACCCACTGTAACTCTGCATGAGTTCATGCCGTTCTTCCCTCATTCTTTCTTTCCTTCCTTCCTTCCTTCCATACCCACTGTAACTCTGCATGAGTTCCTTCCTTCCTTCCATAAAGCACTATGAAGCGGTATATAATTGTAAGTGCTTTGCTATTATAAGGGCATTATAAAGGCACAATAAACGTATTATAAGGGCATCATGAAGACATTATAAAGGCATTACAAAGACACTATATTAAGCAGGGGTCTCCAAAACTTGGGAACTTTAAGACTTGTGGACTTCAACTCCCAGAATTCCCCAGCCAGCGAAGTCCACAAGTCTTAAAGTTTCCAAGTTTGGAGACGCCTGATATAAAGGCACTATAAAGACATTATAAAGGCATTGCAAAGACACTATAAATATAAAGGCACTATAAAGACATTACAAAGCCACTATATAAGGACATTTTAAAAACAATATGAACACAATATATAAAGACATTATAAAGGCATTACAAGGGCATCATGAAGGATAAACTTGCTCCCATCGGGGCCTATAGAAGACCTCTCAAACCCAAGGAAGGAGACTCAAAAGGGCCGGGATCCTCACGGGGGAGCCACGTGCGCCACCTGGGAATCTCCAACAGCCGGACCTTGACCAGAAGGCCCTCCCCTTCCCTTCCTCCCTCCTCCTCTTCCTCCTCCTCCCTACCCTATCATTTCTCCTTCCTTCCTTCCTTCCATACCCACTGTAACTCTGCATGAGTTCATGCCCTTCTTCCCTCATTCGTTCTTTCCTTCCTTCCATACCCACTGTAACGCTGCATGAGTACATGCCTGCCTTCCTTTCTTCCTTCCATAAAGCACTATGAAGCGCTATATAACTGTTGCTATTATAAGGGCATTATAAAGGCACAATAAGGGTATTATAAGGGCATCATGAAGACATTATAAAGGCATTACAAAGACACTATATAAAGCAGGGGTCTCCAAAACTTGGGAACTTTAAGACTTGTGGACTTCAACTCCCAGAATTCTGGGAGTTGCAGTCCACAAGTCTTAAAGTTCCCAAGTTTGGAGACCTCTGATATAAAGGCACTATAAAGACATTATAAGGGCATTACAAAGACACTATATAAGGACATTATAAATACACTATATAAGGACATTATAAATATACTATATAAGGACATTATAAATATACTATATAAGGACATTATAAAGACACTATAAAGACATTATAAAGGCATTGCAAAGACACTATATAAGGACATTATAAATACACTATATAAGGACATTATAAATATACTATATAAGGACATTATAAAGACACTATAAAAACATTATAAAGGCATTGCAAAGACACTATATAAAGGCACTATAAAGACATTATAAGGGCATTACAAAGCCACTATATAAGGACATTATAAATATACTATGTAAGGACATTATAAAGACAATATAAAGGCACTGTAAGGGCATTACAAAGACATTACAAAGACATTATAAAGACATTATAAGGGTATTAAAAAGACACTATATAAGGACATTATAAACACACTATAAAGACATTATAAAGGCATTGCAAAGACACTATATAAAGGCACTATAAGTATAAAGGCACTATAAATATAAAGGCACTATAAAGACACCATAAAGCCACTATATAAGGACATTTTAAAAACAATATGAACACAATATATAAAGACATTATAAAGGCATTACAAGGGCATCATGAAGGATAAACTTGCTCCCATCGGGGCCTATAGAAGACCTCTCAAACCCAAGGAAGGAGACTCAAAAGGGCCGGGATCCTCACGGGGAAGCCACGTGCGCCACCTGGGAAGCCTTGACCAGAAGGCCCTCCCTTCCCCCTCCCCCTCCCTCCTTCCTCTTCCTCCTCCTCCACTGGGGAGGCCTCAAAAGCCCCTTGGCAGCCCCCTCCCCCGCCCCTCCCCCACCGTCCGTAGGCCCTGACGCTGCTTCCCCCTCCTCCCCTCCCCCCCCGCGCACACAAACAAACGCGGTCACGCGCGAGAGGCGGCGCTCCGTCTTCCCCCCCCCCACCTCGGTCCCGCCACCCCCCCCCCAGCTCACCCGTCGGAGGCGGCGCGCTTCTTGCTGGAGGCGTAGTCGTCGCCCAGGTCGAGGCGGTGGCGCTTGGACATGGCGGCGGGGGACGCCGACCCTGCCAGCCGGAGAGCGAGCGAGCAGCTAAAATGGCGGCCGGAAGGAAGCCTCGGGCGCCACCGGAAGCGCCGCGCGCGGTTGCGTGTGTGAGAGAAAGAGAGAGAAAGGGAGGGAGGGGAAAAAAAGAAGAAGCGGACCGGGTCCGTTCCCAAAACGCGTCCGGATGGGGAACTTCCACCCCCACCCCCACCTCACGCGAAGGTTCCGGGCTGCTTTGGGTTCCTTTTTCCCCTCTCCTCCTGCCCTCGCTCCTTTTTCTCTATCAACTCAATGAAGGTTTTTTTTTTTTCTTAAATTACTCCTTAAATCCCCTTTCAGGAGCAGAAGGAGCTAAGCTTCTATTGGAGAGTATGCACGAGTGTTTATTGTGACGCATAGGATTATGAGAGGCAGCGTCTGGAAGCACCTCTCCAGGCCACCTGCTCATTTACAGTAGTGGCCAAACTTGTGGAAACCTTTTGGGAAAAGTGTATTTTGGAGGTTTGATGGCTAATAACACCACTTTTTTTTTTTTTTTGGAGTTTCAAGAGAATCCTATTCCATTGCTGGAATGGCCTGGGAATAGTCCAGACCTTCTTCACCCAATGGAAAATCTATGGAGCCGACTTTTTTTTATTATTATTTATTTATATGCCGCCCTTCTCCGGAGACTCAGGGCGGCTTACAATGTGCTAAGCAATAGCCTTCATCCTTTTGTATATTTATACAAAGTCAGCTTATTGCCCCCACAAACTGGGTCCTCAATTTACCTACCTTAGAAAGGATGGAAGGCTGAGTCAACCTTGAGCCTGGCGAGATTCGAACCTGCAGTAGTTGCAGCAGCTGGTCTTAATAACAGGGTGCTTTAGACCACTGTACTAAAGAAGTCTTTAGACTAAAGAAACTTGTTAGTCAGAAGCAACCCAGCAATAAAACCCAGTTAATAGAAGCCATCATTCAATCTTGGTTTCACATGAGAACAGCTGCAGAACTAAAAGACTTGGTTCATTCCATGGGAAGACGTAAGGCCATCATTCATGCTAAAGGTTACCCAACGAAGTATGAACTGACGTGATCATTTTTGTATATCTCATTTTTTTCTATGGTGATCATTTTTGTATCTTGTTTTTTCTACGTGTTCAGATTTAACAGATTAACAGAGTCGGAAGGGACCTTATAGGTCATCTAGTCCAACCCCCCCACCCAAATAGGAGACCCTACACCATTTCTGATAAATGGCAGTCCAATCTCTTCTTGAAAGTCTCCAGTGATGAAGCTCCCACAACTTCTGTTCCATGGGTTGATCGTTCTCACTGTCAGGAAGTTCCTCCTCATTTCTAGGTTGAATCTCTCCTTGGTCAGTTTCCATCCATTCTTCCTTGTCTGGCCTTCAGGTGCTTTGGAAAATAGCTTGACCCCTTCCTCTCTGTGGCAGCCCCTCAAATATTGGAAGACTGCTATCCTGTCTCCCCTGGTCCTTCTCTTCACTAGACCAGCCATGCCCAGTTCCTGCAACCGTTCATTGTATGTTTTAGCCTCCAGTCCCCTCACCATTCTGGTTGCTCTTCTCTGCACTCTTTCTAGAGTCTCAACATCTTTTTTATAGTGTGGTGACCAAAACTGGATGCAGAACTCTAGGTGTGGTTTTTCACTTTTCTTCCTTATACTGTAACTGCTATTCTAATAGCAAATCCTTCATGAAAGTTATTGCATGACATTCTTGATTAAATTATCTTTCCATTGATATATAATTTTATGGCACTACTCCCCCCCAAAAAAATGGTGTTATTAGCTAGTTTTAGAAAATACACTTTTCCCAAAAGGTTTCCACAATTTTGCCCACTACTGTAGTGCGCCAATGCCACCACTCTTTTACCTCATGAGATGAGAGAGGATTTTTAATTCCTCCTGGGGAATCTAGCTCACCCAGAAAAATGCCAGCACAATATGGTGCTGCTCAGGATCGCATCAAAGCTCTACGAATGTGCCTGAAATTCATTTAGGCGTCTTGTTATTCATCTTGTGCTATCGGTGGTGTGTAGCCCGCAATGTTTAGATGGCAACTGAATGAGGACATGGAGCAGCTGAAATAAAAAAGAAAGCAATGCATTTCTTTGGAAACATTTCCCTATTATAGGACTTCCCCTTTTACTGCATTTCCTGACAAAGGAAAAAAATGTTGTCTCCAAGGATGTGTAGATGGACCAGACCCTCAGGAAGTGAATTACCCTTGAACAGTGTATAAAACAAGAGGCCAACATTTAATTCTCTACCTGAAGGCAAGAAAAGCAGCAACTGATCAAGGAGAAATTCAACCTTAGAAATAAAGGAGGAATTTTATGTTAGTGAGAACAATTAATCACTGCCTCCAGAAGTTGTGGGTGCTCCAACACTGGAAGTTTCTAAGAAGAGACTGGACATCCACTTGACAGATACAGTCTCCTGCTTGAGCAAGGGGTTGGACTAGAAGACCTCCAAGGTCCCTTCAACTCTTGTTAAATTCTGTATAAACTACAAAACGTGGTTTTGGAAGCACCCTGGCGAATTCAGGACCCCTAAGTAAGCCATGCAAGTCATGTGATGGCTTTGGACTCTCCTTGACTGGTGTTTCTCCTTCTATTTTTCCTCTTTTCAAATACAGGTATTTGAATTGAGTTCATTTAGTGACCGTTCAAAGTGACGACAGCACTGGAAAAATGACTCATGACCATTGCAGTATCCCCATGGTCACGTATTTTAACAACTGGGGCAATCGGAAAATCAAGCTCTTTGGTGATGGTTTTGTAGCCTTTACTATCGCCATGCTTGGCTGTTACCTTCTTCCTTTCCTCCTCAGACAATTCTCTGACTTTCTTTCTCTTTTCCATATTCACTGTGCTACAGACAATGAAAAAATTATCTAAGTGAGTATTTTTCTCTATTCCAACAGGCTGAGTGACTAATGAGATTCAAGACAGTTGCAATACTCTTCTGCTTGGAAGGTCACTAATATTCATAATGTCTGTTAACTGCTGAAGAGGTACCAATATTTATGTCTGAGCCATTTTCATTTGTTCCCTTATTTACAAGAACGTGTAAAGTCATATATAAAAAACAAAGTGTCTCCTCTGGATTACAGTGGCAGTTTTCACATTTTGAGACACCAGAGGAATGCTTTTCAATGTGAAAAATCAGCGCAGAAACAGTGTATTTCATGTAATATATTTTATTTGAGCAAAATGTTACAATTAGGGTTATAATAGATTTCATACAACGTACACAGAAACTGTCAAGGATGATCTTTACAGAGCCCCAGGGAACGGAGTTTGAATATCACAGGGTTATGAATTAAAGGTGATCATTTTTGCTATTTATGCTGGTTACTTCCAAACTATTTCACAGTGAATTGGAATTGGGGGGGGGGGATTTCCATCTGTCAATTGCAAAAGACCACACTGCTTAGATCCACACATATACTACACAGATACATTATGATACACTAGATTCTCAGAAAGCTCAAACTGCCCAAGGAGCTGCTGATCCAGTTCTTACAGAGGAATTATTGAGTCTGTCATGTGCACCTCCATAACTGTCTGGTTTGGTTCTGCAACCCAACAACACAGACAGAGACTTCAGAGGATCATTAGAACTGCAAAAAAAACAAAGGCTACCAACCTGCCCTCCATGGAGGACCTGTCTACTGCACGAATCAAAAAGAGGGTTGTGAAAATATCTACAGACCCCTCGCATCCTGGACATCAACTGTTTCAACTCTTACCCTCAAAACGAGGCTATAGAGCACTGCACACCAGAACAACTAGACACAAGGACAGTTTTTTCCCGAACGCCATCACTCTGCTAAACAAATAATTCCCTCAACACAGTCAAACTATTTACTAAGTCTGCACTAATCTCATCGTTCCCACTACCCATCTCCTTCCACTTATGACTTTATGACTGTAACTTTGTTCCTTGGATCCTTACGATTTATATTGATATTTTTTCCTGATTGCTTATTTGTACCCTATGACTATCATTAAGTGGTGTACCTTATGATTCTTGATGAACATATCTTTTCTTTTATGTATACTGAGAGCATATGCACCCAGACAAATCCCTTGTGTGTCCAATCACTCTTGGCCAATAAAAAATTCTATTTGGAAGAAGTCAATGTTTATAAAGGCCAACACTAAAGAACTGGCAGCTGTGATTTCACATTGTTGTGAACAGTCAATAATTTATTAGTTGCATGCTGCCAGGCTCTCAGCAACTCTGGATGACTCCTAACAATCCAAGAACCTTATAACAAAATTTAATGGGAGTATGTATGTAGGAAATATAGCAAACACAATAATTAAAAAGGACTTCCCTCGTCAAAGGCCAGGGTAAAGACCCAGATAGTACATTATCACAATTGCCTCACTCTTTCAAAGTATTTTTTTTAAAAAAGAAACTCTTTGCTTTCAGGGAAGCCACCGCACCCCAAAATTTAAAGATATCTGAAGCCAGAATCATTCTCATCTTGCTCTATTCACACAAACTAACAGGGTAACTTCCTTTTCAACAAGTTCGAGCAATATACCAAACAGTCATTAATTACTGATTCCTTCAACGGAGGCTGTGAAAGGATGCCACATCAATGCCCTCACTACCTGATTTACAAATCCCTACAGAAAAAAATATATATTTTGTGGTCTTACTACGTTCAGGACTTTAAGTGTGCAAGTTAAAACTGTGACTCATCTTCTGATAGAAAGGAGTCTTCAAATACTTTGCCAGCATAGCAACCCTTCCAGCATGTCGAGACCAACTTTTGTAGCTGTACACAACAAAATTTCATTTTAATATATGGCGATCAGCATACATTGTGACAATATTCTATTATATTCTTCTTCTCTACACTCTATTCTAATCTTCATTCTCTTCTATATTGTTTTATCCTAATTATTTTTGACTGTATTCTAATTATTCTATTCTACTCTACTATTCTAATCTTCATTCTCTCTACACTCTTCTCTTCTTCAAATTATTCTCTTCTCTTCTTCATTCTAATTATTATTCTACACTATTCTAATCTTCATTCTCTTATTTTAT